AGGGAAGGGAAGGGAAGGGAAGGGAAGGGAAGGGAAGGGAAGGGAAGGGAAGGGAAGGGAAGGGAAGACCATTTTCTTCAGCTCAGAAGAATGTTGCAGTAAGAGCAGGTCATATATTCTCAGACTTTAGAGAATTTGCATGGGCTACACTACTGTAAAACACTCTGCTGGTAGAAAAGGCTTTAGTCATGCTTAGACTCAATGACACCCAACCCTCCAGGAAATCAGACTACTTCAGCTGCAGACAGCTGATCCAGGTAGAGATGCTGCTGCAAAAGGTGGAGCAAAAAGAGGCATACAGTGGAAAGGTGGCATGGAAAGGTGTGTGGACACTGGCAAGGCAGGCAAGGATTCATCTTGTTAGTGGAGGAGACAGGCAGGAACATGGTGTAAAAGATGGATGAGCAGTCTTGCGCAGGTGACCTTTGATATAGCTAGTTCTTTAAACTCAATAGTAAGTAGAAAGTGTTGGATAAACTCAAGAGAGGAATGAGGTGATACAGTATGCTGCAGACCTTTGCAGCTCCATAGGCCGTGTCCTGCAGAGAGCAGAGGTGTGCAGCAGACCTGGGAAGAGTATGTTATAAAGGTGAGAGATGCGGAGGCCACGGATAGGAAGGCAGTAGCAACTTGTGAATGCTGAGCGTGAAGAAAAATGAAAGCAGAGAGGGATGGATGATATAAGAAAGATGGAGAAACTAGTGTCTGGGGCACACAATGGCTGGCCACGGAGTCTGCTGTAAGAAAAAGGAGGGCAATCAGGAATGAACATAAAGGAAGATCAGGATTTCATTTTTATCCAGAATTTCTAATTAATGGCAAGTTGTGCAAGAGGGAGCATGCATTCAAGACACCAAATGGCAGTCTGACCCAGCCAAGCCTGTCTGTTCTGCGAAGCATCAGTTTCAGTAAAAACACATTGCTCTGTTGTTTCATCAGTCTCACCGCTGTTGTGCATCATACGATATGGCAACCGTTCAGCCAGGCCTGGAGCCGTGCAGGCTATAATTTCCTGGTCATATGTAACTGGGTGGGGAAGAGCCCGAGCCCTGGGGGTGAGTAATGCTGGAACCGCACCACGCGGCGCTCCTTGCTGTTCCAAGCGGTGTAGGTGTTGTTCAAGTTCCCCAGGGCATCTGAACGTTCCCGCACTCTGACACGTAAAATACCCTCCTGCAGCCTGTTTTGCTGGGCACTCGTATCACTTTTCCACATTCCCAATGTTTTGCTGGGGCTCTCTGCCAAGCGCTGTGGGTTTGAAGGTAGCACGTTGTTTCCCCCATCAGGAGGCCCAGCCCTGCCACTGCGCCAAGTCTGTGCTGTCACCATTGTCATGCCACCGTGACAGCACTGAGCCGCCACAGGACCCTTCCTCACCTCACCCCCACTTGGTGCACAAAATGGGCTGCGTGGCATTTATTTGGAGAACGCCCTGGGCTGTGTACTGCAAGCAGAGGGAGGAAGGTCGTGCCTGGAGAGCAGCAGTGGCCTGTATGGGGACTGAGCTCTGCCTGCTCCTTCTCAGCCCCCTCTCTCCCCTTCCCCCCCCTGCCTGCTGGCCACCTTCCCCTTCCCGAGGTGTTTTCCTGTGCCCACACCCCTCCTCTGGAGCAGGTTTATTTGCTGGGCTCTGTCAGACCGGGGGCTGCAAGCCCCAGCCCAGGAATGGGGTGTGCAGGGGGGCCAGGCTCCCGCTGGGCTCCCCAGATGGGGAATCACACATCTCCTTGCACACAACATGAGCTGTAATTTCCGGCAGACATTTGAGGTCCCCGACATCTGCATAATGTGTGCCAGTCTCCTAGCAACCCCAACAGCTGTCTGGCATTTCCAAGATTAAACTGTAACGATACACGGCCATTGCCAGGGAACGGGGGAGAGAAGCGCCCTCCTGGCTCCTTTCAAGCCATTTATGTTTTACTCATTTCCTGCTCCGAGTAATGAGGCCAGCGATGCTGGGGTGGTGGCGGTGCTGCTGAGAAGGCAGATTGTTACACACACATGTATGTTTTTGTTTCAGGGCGAATTTTTAGTGCTCGTGAAAGGGAGGGACCAGCAGCACTCTCCGGAGCCTGGCAGGGAACCAGCAAGCTTCCCGGCAGCCCTTTGCCAAAAAAGCCCAGACGTGAACCCCTGCTCCGCTGCCGCTCTTCACCCGCCCCGTCCCCCCACAGCTCGTCAGGGGCCTCACGCCCGCAGCAGCACGGCCCGCAGCCCCTCGCCATCCCCCCATAAGGTTCTTCCCAACGCTTGCAGCCATGCTGTGCTCCTGACCTGTGACTCTTCAATCCCCATCTCCCTCCTCGTCCGCCCCGGGGAATTACAGCGGGAGGGTGGGGAGGCTCCGCCGTGCAAACATACTTTCCTCAGAGGCAACAACAACTCGGGGCCAAACAGATTCGTCGCAGTAGTGGCTTGAAAGTAGGTGAAATGTCGGCGGCGTTACCCAACGCGCGTGCTGAGCCCTGGTTACACAACACAAACAAACCTCCTGGTGATGCCCGCTGCAGTCCCTGGCCTGGCCCCCATCCCACCCCTGTGCCCCTCTGCAAAGGGCGGCAGGACGCAGCTCTGCTGGCGTGCAGCCATCTTCCCCCATGCGCCCGCTGCTGCTGAGCGCTGCCATTTGCCTCCTCCGTTACAACTGACTAGCAGGGGTTGGTTCTTTTTTTTCTTTTTTATTTTCTTTAAATTGACGTTAAAGAAGAAAAGAGAACAAAAACTTTTTTGGCTGCAGCTTTTGGCTCATCTTTGGTTGCTTTCTAATGCCAAGGCCAGCAGGATCCAGGAATTCATCTGCTGGTGCCAGCGAGAAAGCAGTGACCCAAACAAGGGAGCCAGGGCTCAGGCTGCCGTCCTTGCCAGGGATCAGCGAGAGGCCAGAGAGCCCATGCTGCTGAGTCATCAGCGCTCCAGCTGCTGCAGGCCTTTTCTGGGGACGCGGCTGTTGCTAAGATTCCTGGGAGCTGACTGATTGCTCCTTCTATAGTCATGTAGCGCACACACGTCAAAGGAGCAGGGAACGGCGCAGGGTGCAGCTCAGCCTAAGAACACAGCCTGCTGGCCACGAGCAGCCTGGCTGTTCGGCAGGTCCCCGAGGCGAGCTCCTGCAGGAGCAGCTCTCTGCATCGCTGCACCCTGTGCACGTGGCTGAGGCTGCCTTGTGGCAGGGAGCTCTGCCCACCTCCTGATCATCGAGGGGTTTCTAAAGGTGAGCCACCCAGCTCGTGGTTCTGTGCAGTGTCTTCTGGTTGTACATTTCATCCCTTTTGTTTCAGATCAGATAGATATTAGGAGATCAGAGTATGCTTAAAATCTATCTGTTGCATTCCTTGCGGGGCCAGTGTTGAACCGTGCTCTTCAAGCAGTAAATGAATGCATTCAAAAGCATGCTTGAGCATTTTCCATTTCTGGGGCCAGAACTACCTGAAATTAAGGACATTTCTCATTAGGCCCTGTCACGTCAGATTGTGCTGTGCAGCTGCCAGACTGCATAGGGAGGGACTGCTGCTTCATGTGCATCCTGTGTTTTACTTTGCCCAATTTTATCTATTAAATCTTTTTATTCTCCTGCCTTTTATCTGCCTTAGGTACTCACCTCCCACAGATGCTGCATTTACCCTTGTTTCCTGCTCCACGTCTGACACTTTACTAACTAGATGTACTCAGGCTTTCAGATCTCTCCATTCAGATCTGAGTTGTTAGAGCCTTAGGGTGAGGGACCTGTCTTTTCCTGTCTCCTACATTAGACACATCTCTGATTCCAAAGGAATAACTAATCATAACTAACATTTAATAATGAAATCAGTAACCCCAAAACCCAGTGTCTCCACTCCTTTTTCTTCGGTGTCTGTTGGGATATAAAATTCGGTTACAGATTGCAAAAGTTTTTACTCTTTTCCCAGTAGCACTTCAGAATCCCAACCATGGACAAAGGCCACAGAATATCGTTGTACCACAACAGGGTCTCTGCCACAAAGTGTGCGAGGTCTAAGTGCAAGAGACAAGCAACAGACAGAGATACATAGGGAAGGGTTTGGTCACCATGTCAGGAGGTGGTCTCCATAAACAAGCAGCCTAACAGATTTTTAAGGGAGATTCATGTCAGAGAGGAGGGATTCTCAGATCTCAGAAAGATGATTTTCAACTCAGTAGGTCTTTTTCTCAGGAAAGAATGGGCAACTGTGACTGTTTCCCCAAAGCAGCTTTTAAGTCACAGGTTGTGTAAAATCAGTAGTCCATTTAAATCAATTCTGTCCAAGCAAGCACAGAAATAGTTTCTCAGCATATGAAGTCTGATCATGTAGATGCTTGTAAGTATAGTCAAGAGCGAGTATGGGTAAACTTATATGTTGTGTTTTGAGAAATCTGGTAAATTCCATACATACCAATGGAGAAATAAGTAAATTTTAAGTTGCCCAGAGTGGATATGGGTAACCTTCATTAAACCACATGTAAGAAAAGCCTGAAGGGCGCATCAAACACGCTACTGAAAGGGTACTTGGAAGCTTCACTGGAAGAAGCCACTCTGTACTGGCTGTAAAGGGACACAATGAGTGAGATTGAATAAGATTTCTATAACTTTTATACGGTGTTGTAGGTACTGTAGAAAACAGAAGGAAAATAGAACTGCACACATTAAGTTTCCTAATTGCTTGCATATGCAGACTTGGAAGCTGTGTTTGGCTTGCAGTAAGGCATTATAGAGCTCTGAGAGTGCCTGCATGGATGGTGAAAGCCATGTATGGTGATGGATGCTTTCATCCACTACAGGCAGCTACAGGCATGCTGACCTTAAAAATGCTGCAGTTACAACATCTGAATCGTGTTTTTTTGTTAATCAAAAGTATATTTATGCTGCTAGAGTGGACTGTTCTTCATTCGATGGGGAACTTTACTGGGCATTTCTTGCAGAAGTTCACCATTGACGAAACAATGAAGAAAGTAATCTTGAACAGCATTCCCTCCATTCTTCAGTTTAGGGCATTTTGGTATCACAAGAGCCCTTAGATGTGTTTTAAAGCAGCAGGCACCCCTTATAATTCAGTCTGCGATGGCTGTTAAGGGGAGCCCAGAGCAGTGTAGCTGCAGCCGACAAGCAGTGTTAATGGTGCCTTTGAAGAGGTCAGGATCAGCTCTACTCTGAACAGTGCTGCTGTTCCATCAGTCCAGGACTGGTAGATAGAACCTCTGGAGCAACTGGAGCTTCCAAGCTTCTACCTGCTGTCTAACTTCCTGCACACAACCAAGATAGCAGAGTGGCCCATGAGGCAGTGCTTCCCCCACATCTGTCTGGTGCTGAATACTCAGTTCTTAGCAGAGTTTCAGGTGTGGTCATGGAGTGGTGGTACTGGCAGCATGGATGTGTGGTCTCCCCTGGATGCACACACAAGGAGGGTGTTTGCTATAGCTAGCTTCAGCATAGCTTTATTATCTCAGACACTAATGATATGTGGAGAAACTTTAAAATGTGTCCTTTCTGTTTGTGGAAATGCTTCCTGACATGAGATGGTCATGGACAACTGCTTCCTTAGCCTTCAAAGAAATCATCCGAAGAGCCCTGGAAGGCTTCTACATCAATTCCAGGTCCTGACATTTATTTTCAAGGCCTTGTGTGAAACTGTCCAAGAACATCTTAGAAAGGCCTCTTTCTTTGCATGTTGATAGTACTGTTCCTCTGAACCCGTGGATAATGAAAGACAAGGTGTTCTCTACAGCAGGGTCATGGCTTCACATATCACTCTGCTTGAAGACACAAATCTTCTTCCCTTGCTTTTCTGAAGACAGATCTGAAAACAGCAAAGAAAAACCAAGAAGGTGAAAGAAAAAAAAAAGAGATGAAAAGAAGCATGAGTGAAAAGACCTAAAGCAGTGAGAGAGAGGGAGTGAGGAAAGAAACAGCGTGAAAATGACAATTAAATCAGTTATTTTGAAGAAAAAGATTTTACCTTTCCTGAGACATGGGAAACAAAGTCAGAACACTGGGCTGCATGCACTGCTCTGCTCTCAGATACTCCACAGGGAGAGCTTGTGAACACAGAGAGAAAGGAATACAAATGCAGCACAAACAGAAATGCTTGTATAGGCAATGTCCCTGCTTACACAGCTTCAGCTTGTCTAGCTCTGTGCAGACACCCATCCGAATTATAAGCAAAATAAAGCCTTGTGTTGCAGGGTTCACAGCTGTTTCCTAATAGCATTCACAAAAGCATTTGACTTGACGGCAGCAGTGATCCATGTGGCATCATACCCCAAATCACAAGACTTCTATGTCATGTAATCTTTAGCCTTTCTTGTGTTTCTAGATGGCAACTTTAAAATTACTTTTTCTCCAGTGCACTGTAGTGGTATTCTCATTCCAAGGGTGTGACACAGCTCACAGTGAACTGATGGGAAACAATACCAATATCTGCAGACAGCAGACAGCTCTGCTATGAGCCTGTGTTAATGGCTGAGAGCAGAGACTGGCAAGGAGGGCAGTATCTTTGCTCCCCTGCATCTTTTGAAGCCCCACAAACCTTTTGTCCAAGGCACTGAGTAGGAATGTAATCTTCTTGGAAGTGTCATGGCACTGCTTCAAGTGCCAGTGTCATAAAGGTTTTAGAAAAGGTAGTTAATCATCGACCAGTTTGTGATACTAGCAAACACTATAGATTAAGGCTGAAACATAAAAATTAAATAAACACACGTATCAATCAGCATTTTACAGTGCCAGTCATTAAACAAATGGTAGCTCAGCGGCTGCTGAGCCTTTGTGCTCTGTCTTCTTCCAACACATTGCTGTCTTGCCAATAGGCAAAACAATTTTCTTAATGTTCTTTGCATAAAATACTAGCAGTTTTTATTTCAGCTGTGGAAGGATCTTTTTTTTTTTCCTGCTATACAATAACATAACCCACCTAAAACTTCTTTCCCTGCTGCGTCTATAAAGTAGCCCATTTGCAAAGTTGTGGTGCACCCTTGTTCCTCAGCAAGGATTCAGTGGAAAAATGCTTTAGTGAATTGTCCTGTTAGCAAGGTCTAGTTTCACAAACCATAATGCACTATACTGAGAGAGCACTTTTGAAGCAGTGAAATGCAGTCTGTAGGCTGTATTCTCAGATGGAGTGAAACAAGAAACTAAATCTTAAGTATTGTTCTGAAATAAATGAGCAAAAGATGTTTTGGAAGGCGCCGCAGTTCACAGCATTCCACAGCAGGCATTACGTCAGGAGTATATTGACAAGAGATGCTCCACAGTGGAGTGTGAGATACTGGTTGATCACAGCATCACTGTTGAGCAAAGTGCTTAATCACTTGCTCAGTATATAAATGCATGAAGAGGTTAAAGAGAATTAATAGAGGGCAGGGAAGCACCCAACTTAAAAGGGGGCAAAAGCCTTTGACATTGTAAGCAAGTCAGATTGCTGCAGTATCTGAAAGAATACCAGAATAAATTATCAAATAATCGATTCATAAGCACCCAGAGG